GGCTAGCCACTTCGATCTAGATTATCTAGATCTAGAATTTAGATTTAGATCTAGATCTAAATATCTAGATTCTAGATCTAGTCTATATCTAGATGTAGATTATATAGATCTAGATCTAGAATCTAGATCCTAGATCGTCTCAGTCTAAGAGTAAGAGTAGACAGAAGTTGAAGCATTGAAATTGAATCATTCACTGAATTATTATGATGACATGATGATGGGTGGTCCTCATTAACTCACCTTGACAGAATATAATCAGAAAAAGATAAAGCTACGTCTCATTTGAGAACTGGAACTCAATCTGGTACCTAGCACGACAAAGGTACAGTTTACAGTCCAAGCGAATATAATTCGGTGTTCTGAGGAAATTTCTGATTCATCAAGCTTAGTAATTCAGCTTCCAACTTTTACTATGTGACACAACCAAACGGAAGTGAACATTTTGTTGGCATAACAAAAACTTGATTTTAGATTGACGTTTAAACACTGTTTACGACTCAAACTATTTACTAAGTCGCGAAAGCAGTGCAAATGCAGTGTTTGTGTTTATCTTTAAATTCTGAATATCAAATGGTCTAAATAATATTTAATATGGCATGGCTTTATAGCCTTTTTTTCGCACTGGGTTCGATAACATGCTTTTGAAATCTGAAGGTCCAGCTGTTTACAAAAGGTCATTCGGGGTCAAGTTCAAGTGGTGTCAAAACAACAACCTTTAGATAGCATAGCACTAGCAGTCTACGACAATCGACAATACCGGCAACATGGCAAGCGTGTTTGGGAGAAACTTTGCTACTGGCGTGAAACTCGTAAGTGAAGCTGAAAACCATTAACTGACAACCTATCGTACTGCTTGAAGTACTTGCTACAAAATAATCTAGGTGTCCAAAACAACAGCGTAATAATTTGTCAACAGCAAATTGTCTGAAGTTCTATTCGACCTTTCTTTTTTAGAACTGTCGAAAAGTTACACAACAGCACAGCTGCTCTTTGACTTAGAACAGTAGTAGTAGGCTAGATATCTAGATTCTAGATCTAGATGTCTAGATCTAGTACATTAACAATACATAGTAGAGACTTGATCTGGATTAGTCTAGAACTACAGCTAGTCTAGATCTCTAGATCTAGTTGCACTTGGCTTGGCTTGACTCACAGCAGCTTAGAGCTTTTATTTTTCGAAGTGGCTATGCGCTTATGGCTCCCGTACGCAGTCTCATGGCTATTCCTACGACCCTCCCATACGCATAGCATCGAGGGTATGTGAACGGCCCTCCACTTCACATAATGAGCTAGGCTTTGTAGGCGGCATTTAAACTATCACTACAAGTGGACAAACTTAAACCTGGGAAGCGCGCAGGCCCCATATATATATTATATATATATATATATTATAGGGATGACCTACTTCGATTAGGAAGCGCGCAGCTATAAAGGGCATAGACGCTGACCTTTTTCCAATGGAAAATTTCAGCATTCTTTTTATGGAAAATGATGTAGATCTAGTAAATCACAGGTCAAAGTTATAAATAGTGACCAATGACTTTAATTGCAAGTTATCTTGACCTCGTAGACCGTCTCTTGGCCAAAGATCGTACTAACAAAATAGTTCACTCAGCCAAAAAGGTGTCCGCGGAAGTCCGCACATTGGTTCAGATGACGCTGCAGTTTTTGTTTTGAAACTCTTTCGTTTCACCAGAAGAAGAATAGGAATAGCACAGTTTGTTAGTTTCACCTATATTTTCACACAAGAAGGGTAACTCTGATCGCAAAGTCCGCACTTTTTAGAAGAGGGCGTCACCGAATATTGAGGACACTTTTTTAATTAGCTCAATTATAGAGGAGTGAACTATCTTGTACACGATCTTTGTCTGGGTCAAGATATCCATCGATAAAGTGACACGGTTCAGCTGAGCGATTATCAAGGCCGTGAGCATACTTATATCTAAATCTAAGAGCTGTACGTAGGGAGGACCGTACGCATAGCCTCATGGCTATGCGTACGGGAGGGAGGATAAGTATGCGTGCGGGAGGGCCGTACACATAGCCACAGGCTTTATTTTTAACTTTTAACCTATAGGGTGAGAATAACCCATCTTGCTATTCTCACCCCCTCGTTTTACTAGAAATAACCCTAGATTTTCTAGAGGGATATCAGGGCAGAGGTTACCGGAATTACCTGGGGGTGTCAGGGCTGATGCTCCACAAGATCGTGTCACAGTTAGGGTTGTCAGTTTAGAGCCAAATCCCAGATATTTGGCTCTTTTGGATCGCATCTGGCCCGTAGAATTTCATTTGGCTCTCTAGCTGGCTCTTTTTTGGCTCCAAACTCCAAATGTTCAAGAAAAACGGGAAAGGAGTAAGGAGAGGCAAGAAAAAATGAAAAAGAAAGAATATAGAAGAAAAAAATGAAAATGAAGAAAAGAGCTTGGATGCTTAATTATAATTATTAAACTAGTGAACTAGATTTAATGCCCTCGCCCATTTGGTCTGAATAATTTACGGTAGTTCCCGCCCCCCTTATTTGAGCCAAGATCTACATCTAGTCTAGATCTATACGTTTGATGCATTGCAAGCTAAGATATCGAACCTAACAACATGCCCCCCTGAAACCCCCCACCATATTTTTTTTAGGTCAGGGGGGCTAGCCCCCTGAAACTCCCCTACTCTTGGGGCCAAAACCGGCGAATAACCGAAAAAGCACCTAATTTACAACCCTTCTTCTGTCATGCAAGAGCATAGTCTTGTGCTCGTGTCTCGTTACGGTTGGTACAGGCTCTCTGTTCCTTGAACCACAATTCATTGTGTGCAGGCAGAGAGGCCTAACATCGTTAAGTGTGTAAACAACAAATGGCGCGGCCGGTCCCACATCCCGCATAATAGCGTCGGTAGTGAGACATGTTTTTTACTAGAGAGGCGAAAAAGGTTTTTGTATTATTATTATTTTATTTGTTGTTCATTTAAGTTTTAATTAAACAAAGATCTGGTTAAGATGATCATATTATATATCCGTCTCAAAAGTCTGCATCGTAATTTTCCATATCCATATCCCAACTTTAATTCTGTAAGAGCCCTCCTTCATCTCATGGGATGGAATGCTTGAAGCAGGCCGAACTATTACACAATACCATAGCTTCTCCACCCTCCTCTCCAGGATCCATGAAAGGGTCTGCCTGCTGATCGTGCCAGTTAATAGCTGGTTGGATATTCTCTTACTTTTCCATGCATATGGTTTGCTGTCTCTCCCCGGCCCTCTAGGGACACCAGCTTCCCTTAGTCTATCCATTGTGTGTGAAGTGGTGCCTTCATCCTTTCTCTGGTCGTTGAACCATGCTGCCTCATCGTGGCCAGCTATCTTATCAGCGCGTCCTTGAACTCCTGCATGACCAGGGCTAAAGATCCATACAATCCTTATGAGTCTGCTGCTGCTTTGTATTGCCTCTCGCCAGTCTGCATATATCATGTTTCTTCACTTTTTCGAGGGTACTCATCGTGTCAGTGACGAGGATGGCAGACTGACACTCCGGCATCTTAATCCAGTTAAGGGCTTCTGTGATGGCTTTCATCTCCATACACATGCTGGATGTGGTTATAGTAGTGATGCCTGACAGCTCTCTCTGTATGACCCCTTCTACACGGGTGCTGAAAGCCCATCCAGGTTTGACACCAGGCTGTACTGATCCATCTGTGAAGATGACTATGTCGCTGTGTTCACTGTTCTCTTCTATCAGCATCTCTTCCTCGGCATTGGCTGCTCCCTCTGGCCACTCACGACATTCTCTGCCTAACGTTGCTACCACTCGAGTATACTGTCCAATTGTGTCCGTGACGCTGACCCATGCGCTACCCCTTCGGATGTCTTGCACTTCAAAGCATTTAGCCGAGTCGTCGCTGCCACATTCATCCATTCAGTCTCTCTAAGCAGACATGTGCGTACAGTTCTTCCCACTTTGTCATGCAGTGGGTGCTGATCATAGGCGCTGACTCTCAAAGTTATACGCTTTCACCTGAGCAATCTTGTGAGGTTCTACCATGGAGGGAGGTCCAGGAGATAACGCATATTATAGCCATGCAGGATGTGTCTTGTGTGCACCCGAGAACAGTCCGCATACCTTCCATACATTCATTCTGAATTCTTTCAAGACGTTTCAGCTCCGACGTTGACAAGGTGGGGAGACCAAGGCCATCATAGTATATCACAGACAGCACAGGAGTCTGGTATAGTTTGGCTAAAATTCTTTGTGACATTCTGCTACATGCCATGGTTTTCAGTGCAGTCAGACCTTTTCGGGCTTTTGTGATGATCCTGGTTATGTGATCCTTACCTAAGAGTGATCTGTCAAAGGCGATACCTAGATACCTCAGTGAGTGCTCAGGCTTCAGGACCCTGTCGTTGATGTTGACTGTGGGCATCTTTGCTTTCACCGCAGGATTGTTCAGCGAGCACCACAGCACACAGGCCTTGTCGGGATGGAGTTTGCTGTTGCGGTCTACACACCATTGCCCAATGCGATCCAGCTGTTGCACCTCATTAGCTGTTTCTTGCCAGTCCTTACCCTGTCTGTATACAAGGACATCATCCACAAAGCTCAGCACACACTGTGGGCTTTCCAGTTGTCCAGAAGTGTTTCCAACTGTGTATATGTTGAATAACACTGGTGAGATTGATGGTCCCTGCAGCAACCCCGATGTGATGCTTCTGGTGTCAGATGTCCAGTTTCCCAGCCGCATTGCAACTCTCTTCTTCAGCAATGCCTCACCTACCCGTATCACGAGCTGGGGGGCTAATCTTCAGGTTGATCATTGTTCTCAAAAGGACATTGTACTCAACCCTATTTTAGGCATCCTCGAGGTCAAGCGCTGCTATCAGAGTCTCCTCGCCTCTTTCAAACCCATCATAAACATCTGATGCTAGGATGGCGGCGTTAATCCACATTTCCTTCCCCCTTCTGTAGCTTCCCAGAGTCGCTGGAAGTACCTCTTCCTTTTCTCGCTCCTTTGCAATCGAGTACCCTACCTCCTTTTCTAAAAGCTTGCTCACGCATTTTTGCATCGTGATTACTTGATAAGCAGCTACCTTACTCTGGTCCTTGTCAGGCTTGGGGAGTGGTACTAAGTGGCTGTCCAACCAGTCATCTGGTATCTCTCCGTTCCATAGACTCCTGTTGAGGATATCTGGAAGGTCCCTGATGCTGTCCTCGTCAAGGTTTTTCATGTGAGAGAAGCGTACTCCATCTAGACCTTGTGCGGTATTGTAAGGACACTTGTAAGGGAAACAAGTGCGTGGAGGTTATGAGTACTACAACGGAAAGGCAGGGCCAGGTGGGGGGGGGGGGGTAACTGGAGTACAAATGGTGATTAGTACCTACATGGTAAATATAAGGTCCCTGAAATCCTGACCGATGCCATTATCAGTGTAGCAAGGATAGCACTTGGTCTCTCACAGCAAGTCATCATCGTCATCATCATCATCATCATCATCGCCTCTCTCACTCTGGACTAGGGTATCGGCCACTGACAAACACTTTCCACTTTTCCCTTGTCTTAGGCTAGCTTCCTAACATCATTCCATGCACTTCTACTTTTCTCTGTACATCATTCTGTGTGACTGTGACTATTCTTTTTGTTCCATATATATAGCCTCCCCCTTGATCTCTTACCCAGTGCATTCCACAATGACTACACTTATACTAGAACTGTAGACAATATAATGCTTTCACATGGTCTTTAAAAAATGAATTTTAGATAAAGGTTTGTTAACCGTGTTACCATTCGATTATTTGCAGGTTCAAGGGATCACTGCACAGTGTTTCACAGCAAGTGTTTCAACTAGCAGCAGGTTGCAGACTTTATCATTGGTGAAGAATTCAAACAACACCCAGCGATATTTTTCCACAGGTATGTGAATGATTTGGATCAAATGAGTGCTTCGTTTTGAAGTTTTGCGTTATTTTTTTCATGGAGAAATAGTAAAAGTCTTTTTTTTTTAACTTGTCATAATATTAAAAGTAATTTAATTGTTTGCTATATGTGGAGACGCTTATGTGGGATACCGGTTCACCGATATGATCTATATATGGGTTCATTTCTCTTTCTATCCTTACAAACTTGATGTTTAACATTGGCGAACCTGTGTAAAATGACCACCCATTGTCATGGAGAAAAGGGACTGTATAGCCGTCTTGAGCAGGACTGATCAAAATGAAGAATGCCAACCATTCCCTTCTGAGGTCCAAACCAGGACTGATCTCGGCTTAGTACTGTCCTAAGCTAGATGTAATTAAAAAGGGTTTCTGCAGCAGTTGCTTTTGGTCAGAAAACCTCAACAGTGGTCATAAATAGCTGAGAGGCTGGGCTCAGTTAGTAGCTTTTGGTCTGGATACGCACAAAGGATGGAAACAAAAGAAGTGTTAAATCGTTTCTGTTTTTGATATATCAAACAGTGTTTCCCATAAGACGCAAGCACTGCAATGGATGAGTAAGACTGACACCTGCCATTATCAGTGTAGCAAGGATAGCTCTTTGGAGGTGTGAAGCTTTGACCACTGCCTACCAACCGGACAGACGACCCTTGATCCCACCGCATACATGGTTTGATGGTGTAGCGGCTAGACGCTTTGCCATTGCATTGAGTTTGATTCCTGTGTGGGAAGAATTTTTATTAAGTATCTCTGTTTTTCTGCAGGGACATCGTATTCCTCTTTGGCAGGGTCGAAACCCACGGCATTAATAAATTATTTAAATTGTGTCAAAATGGGTGTAAACATCCTACATTTTTTAATAAAGAGGATTTAGAAAACAGCTGGTCCTCAGTGCCTCCCTCCCCAAAAATTCCCCTGTCTAAGACAGAACTATTTTATGACTCCCTTGAGATTCCATCTTGGATAGGTTTGACTGTAATGCTTTTGCTTGGAAAAGCTAACTTGTCCAAATCATGTTGATCTGCCGAGTAAATTCTTTACATTGGTCTCAGAATCAGTATTTATTGGAAAGTAATAGATAATGTATTTGAAAATTGAATCAATTGCGAATATACTATGTATGACTTTGCATTTCTCTTTCAACTTTTCATGTTCCCTGGAATTTTAGGTTGTCGCCTGTTGTCATCAGTGAGAGTCCAGCAACCAGCTCCTGATTTTCAAGGCCAGGCAGTGGTTGATGGCCAGTTCAAGGAAATCAAGTTATCTGATTTCAAAGGAAAATACCTTGTGCTATTCTTTTACCCGCTTGACTTGTGAGTTTATTTATTATATCTTTGGTGTACGACAAGAAATTTTAACCTTTTGATTAGCCTACTTATAATATGTAAATAGTTGTCAGGTGCCCTTTGTTTTTCTACTACTACTCTTTTCTCCTCCCTTCATTTCTCTAACATTAGATCCATTGTCAGTACTTTTTCAACCAGCAAATGTAGGCTTCGATTCTTTATTCACAGACCTTAATAAGACTAATTATTATTTTTAACTTAAGGAAAGTTAAAATATAGCTTTAAGCTCATTGAATACTATTGAGTGGCCAAATTACTCAATTTTTTATCTCTATAAAGAAGTGTTCCTTGACTTATGTAAAGCGAGCAATTGACATTCAAAATATCCATGCTTCTCTGTCACTCTCTCTGTCTTTGTCTCTCTTTCTCTTTCATACTGTGTATGTCTGCTGGTCCCCATTCTCTACCATTAGCTTTCTATTTCTCTCTCTCTCTCTCTGTCTCTCTCTCTCTCTCTCTCTCTCTCTCTCTCTCTCTCTCTCTCTCCCTCCCGCTCACTTGCCCTCTCTCTCTCTCTTTCTTTCTCTCTCTCTCTCTCTCTCTCTATCTCTCTGTCTCTGTCTCTCTCTCTCTCTCTCTCTCTCTCTCTCTCTCTCTCTCTCTCTCTCTCTTTCTCTCTTTCTCTCTCGAATACAACAGGCTGCCCTTTTTTAGTTGGGAGCTGGGGGGTTCATGGTGTTTGTGTGTATTTGGTAGCCCTCATATAAGTCCATCTATATTGGTTTCTTTCCCTGCCTATTTTGCAGCACTTTTGTTTGCCCCACTGAGATCATAGCCTTCAGCGACAGTATTGACAAGTTCAAAGCAATAAACGCTGAGGTTGTTGGTGTATCAACTGATTCCCATTTTAGCCATTTGGCTTGGATAAATACTCCCAGAAAGGTATGGTTTGTTCTGTTGTGGTTGTTGTTGCTATGCTTTTGACATCCTTTGTTCTGCAGTCATCCCTTTATTCTTGTTTCCACAACGTTTTGGATGCACAATTTGAGTCGTCCAGTGTAGTGTGTTTGAATGCAGTGGTAGTACTCCTCTTAATACTTTGCAAACAACTTGATTTCGCGAATTTCTTGAAAGATTTTGAAAATCAGAAATTCCAGTTGCACCCGAAAAAACAGTATGCACTAGACAACAGGTGCGTAAAAGTATCTTATGACAAAAGGACACATTGGTAGTCATTCATGTACTCTTCCTGTTGTTACCAATCTCTGCTGTAGGTGCTGTAACTTAATTTGTTTGTTTTAGTAGAGGTCATGTGAGCGCCAAGGGGCGGATGTCAACAGAGAAGTCCTTACAGGGAATCAGGCTTACTCTGCTCACCTCTCTAGCTTCAACAGCACAAAGTCCGCTTCAACTATCAAGGCAGCCCCGGAAATAGCGGGTCACTAGAGTTTGACAAACATACAGAAGAAGTAGAGGAATAATGGCGATAGTAAGGATTAGGGAAAAAAAGCAGCAGTTCCCTGCTGCAGTTCAGGTACAGTTACGAGCATGACATTGATGAATCAGCCCATTTACAATTACAATTCTACTGTACATAAGAACATGGTTAATGATAATGTGCCCCCTTTGGGAATGGCCTAAAGACACTTCAGTCAGTAGCACTGTCCTGGGGGATAGTAACTTAATTTGAGGAGCAGAGGGACAATATGGCTTCTATAAGACATCTTGCAGAGAAAGGTAGTCTTCCTTCCTACTGAGCTAATAAAATTTTGCAGAAGTCCTCTTTCTGTTGAAATAACCTGGATCAGTAACAACTTCCTGTTGAAATAACTGTAAATCTTAGGCTAAGTTATACTTTTCTGCTATTTCTTGGGAATCTACAGCTTGGAAATGCAACATTTCTTCAACCCGTTGATTATGATAGTAATATATATGATGATGCTCAGAGCTTATACTTGTATGGGATAGAGCTCTGTATAAATGCAATCTGTTATTATTGTCAATAGATTTTGTATAAGATTTACTGCTTTCTCTCATTTTGTTCTATTATAATCAGATCCAAATTGTTCCTCCTTTTTGATAAATAACATGGTCTACATGTTCTTTTTTCTCTCGTAGTTTAGTGTTATGAGATTTTTCCTGTCTTGCCTGACAATTTCCTCAAACAATTTCTACTTGCACCATGCTTCAAAGTATCTATCAATACACCAGAGTTGATTCTAAATGTGATATACAGCATCGTATTTATGGTACAAACTTGGTATCATGGGTAACAATTTGGTAAAGTTTTGTTGAAACACACTATCTGTAACATATTAACATTAATGTTTTATTTAATCCCCCGCGGCAGTGCCACTGACTGTAGTGTCTTTAGGCCATTCCCAAAAGGGGGACATTTCTCGTTCAAGCCCAGTAGAATTGTAAATGGGCTGATTCATGTCACGCTCATAACTGTGCCTGATCTACAACAGGGAACTGCTGCTTTTTCTTTCCTAATCCTTACTATTGTCATTTTCCTCTACTTCTTTTGTATGTTTGTCACTCTCTTGTGACCTGCTATTTCCGGGGTTCCTTGATAGTCGAAGTAGACCTTGTGCTGTTGAAGCTAGAGAGGTGAGCAGAATAAGTCTAATTCCCTGTAAAGACTTCTCTGTTGACACCCACCCCTTGGCGCTCATATGACCTTATGCAGTTGCGAGCACCGTAAAACCCTCTACTATAAAAAAAATATAAAATGTTTTAATAGTATTTTTCTTCTGTCTTCTAGCAAGGGGGACTGGGTGGTCTCAAGTATCCCCTCCTCGCAGACTTCTGTAAGTCCATCTCAAGGGACTATGGTGTACTCCTGGAGGATCAAGGAATAGCCTTAAGGTAGGTCTCATAGTGAGTTGAAAAACTGGCTTAATCACTTGTAATAGGGGGTGCCCACTACAGCTGGATCGGGCTGATGGCCTGACTCCGTCACCTGAAATTGAAAACAAAAACGTTTGTTTTTGAGGCGACCGAGTTGGGCATTCAGCCCGATCCGCCGATCCCGTCTGTAGTGGGCACCCAGTATAAGAAACCATTTGTGAGGCAGCATGGTGAAATCTAGCGCTTGTCAAATTAACAATGTTAGAGAAACAGGCATTTTTCTACCAGTTTAGAAATTTTGATAGAATTTATATTTTTTTTATTAACCGCTCTTAGGTCCATATATATATAGAAACACATCTCCATGTGAATTTTACAGAAAAACGTTGATTAAAAAAAGGCACAAAATATGTTATTTTTCTGTTTTGAAAGACTCTTTAGCTATTGGAGTTACCATAGTTTGGCGGCCATTTTCTCACTAATTTCATCACTGAAACCAGGTGACCTCACTGCCTTCAATCGCAAATATCTTGAATTCTTTTCAAGATGAATGGATATTTATTTCATTTGAAGCAAGGCAAATAAATAAACTTTGAGATGATACCAGTAACTCCACAATATGCCCAAAAATGGACGAGCGCCTGATTGCACTGCGTCGTGACATATTTACTATTGGGCTTTTAAGAAAAGCTGACATCACAAAAAAAGAGAAGTATTGCTCTAATAATAACATAATGACACTATCTGATGCTTGTTTGCTCTCTAGGTCACATAGGTTGTATTTTAGAAGAAAAAAGATATGTGGAGGCTTCTTTCAGATCACTCGTGCTCCAAAGGATTTTAGAAACCTATCATTAAAATTCAATTTTTTATTTTAAACATTACAAAAGCATACAAAATGATATTTTTCAAACAATGCCTGTTTCCCCAAAATACAGTAGAACATGAAATAGCCTGTAGACTACAATAGATGTAGGTCTACTCTTCTTTAATTTAAAAAATTGCAGTCTGTGTCTATATTTCTAGGCCTAGATTAGATCTAGATCTAGTAGTAGGCTTAGTATTAGTATAACCAAAGATTCTCTACTTCCAAGGTATTGCAATCCTTCTTTGGGCTTTTGTCCCACGCCGTGGCGGGCCTGCTTTGCCGATGTCACTAGGCGATGCGAGATTGGTTTCATCGTCGACTGCTTGTTGTGTGTGTATGTGTGTGTTTCTTTGCAGTACCCCAGTACACAAAGCAGCGCAAGGGAACTGCACAGTCCCCGAGTCTAAGCAGTGCTAGGGGTCTGCACAGTCCCCCAGTGGGTAGCGGTAGGGGACTGTAATACAGTCTCCTAACAACTTCCTTTTTTAAAACAGTATTTGCAAAGCTCTCCAAGCTTTTTGGCAATTATTTACAAATTAAAAACTTTTAATGTTATTTCAGAGGTCTCTTTATTATTGACCCTACTGGAGTTGTTCGCCAAATCACCATCAATGACCTTCCTGTTGGTCGATCTGTCGATGAGACCGTCAGGCTGATCCAAGCATTCCAGTTTGTGGAACAGCATGGTGAAGGTAATGTTCTTGAAGTAAATAGTACCAAGTGTTCCTTTCCTTCTCTTTTTGAATTTGAGTAAAGAGAAGCACACTGACGCTATAACCGTCATTTAGTACTGGGAAAAATCAAGATGGACAGACAGAAACAAAAGCGGGAAAGGAAAGAAGCAGGACCTACCAGTTGCGCCCATTGCACCAACTACCCACCCCTTTCTGAGGAAACTGAAGTGGTTAGCTGTCTTTGAAATCTTTTCTTTTCTCTCTAATGACATGTTAAAAAACTAAGTGCTAGAAATTCATGTCCCACTTTTTTATTTGTGACTGAATGCTGTAGTTATTTACCCATCAATGCCTTCTTTAAAAAAAAACTAAAAAACATTAATGACAGTGATAGCATCAAGTCTGTCCATGTTGTTTCAAGGAACAAATTCATTATGTCCACTGTCATGAAAGTAGTAGTTTTTTAGCTAGCAATTTTCTTATAACAGGATGCAAATTAGAACTTGGGTGTTTTTACTTTTTGGTACCTGTAAAACAACTTTAGATAAGCATACAAATCTGTCAGCTTCCCTTCAAATGAACCTTGTTTCTTCCTTAGGCCACCACTCTCCACATCACCACAACTCTTTACTTACCTGGCATAGAAATGCCTTGCTAAATTTTATTTTGTCCATACATAACCAGTGCAACTGTCAACTGCTTGCCATAGTGTTGTTATCTCTCTCATTGATAAAGTTGTTTTTTTCCCCCTTTTTTCACTATTTTCATTCTATCTACTCTCATCCTCCCATTATTAATATCATGCTTTGAAAACTCATAATACACATGTCGCACAGCATGTATAGGAACTGACAGTTTCACTGATATCTTTGCTCTTTATGGCATACGTCTATAATCATTTATTGCTTCTGGTTTTAGATTGGTTTGCGCTTACTTTCACTTCTCGAACAGAAATTTCTTTCTTTTCTGTCATTGTATATATGACCTTTTTGAGCTAAATATTTTTTTCTTCTGCTAAATAGATTGTTTTTTTAGCCAAATTTGCTATTGATTCATTGTTATGCTGAAATATTTTATCTCCATTCAAAATGCTGGTATTTTTCAAATGAATTGTAACCACATTAGCATTTCTTTTTATGAAAGTCTCATTTGTAGTTTTAAAGTAACAGGATACGGTACTGAACATCTTATTGTTACCCGTTTGAATTGGAATATTTTGATGTCATATTCAATGTCACTCTTTATCCTTTTAATAAGCTTCTGCTTATACTGCTCCAAAATAAATGAGTCGTGCATTTACAAGGATTGACAAGATATGTTTTCTATAAATTTTCTTTTTTTTTTCCACTTTGGCAGTGTGCCCAGCGAACTGGCAGCCAGACTCTGCAACAATCAAACCAACGCCGGAGGCTTCGAAGGATTATTTTGAGAAAGTTAACTGAGTTTGTCACTGAGATCTTGACTGATGTTGTAATTTATGCCCATGTGAAATCCGTTAGGGTTTAATGTAAAATTGATGTTCTTTTCTGCTTGCGTCCTTTGTGATACTGATCATGTGTGTGTATGAGAGTGTTTTTCAGCTGGTGGGGAGTACTTATTGATCTATGGATTAATGATGTTCTTAATCCAAAAGTCACTAGACTGGTGCCCTGCAACTCAATATTTTAAACTTTTTTGTTGTTAATCTGGGTCTTTTATGTCCATAAGGGGTGTGAACTTCATTTTTTATTTTTTTAAATGAATTTTTCACCCTTTTAGATGATCTCAAAATTAAATATTTACAATATTTGTATAATGTTGGCGTAAAAGGTTTTGAGTGTTTAAAGAGTTTGGTTTACTTTTGAATTTTTCACGACCTTTGTTGCTTACAGGTTAATCTTTCTGCTTCTGATGAAGTCACATTTCAAAATCATTTTACACTGTTGTTTTATGCTTTATTTTCTTCTCTTAGAGATCTGATCTTAACAAAAATCACTGGAAAAAAATATTTCTTTTCATCTTCACATAGTCTTTGATTTAACTTGGGTTACACTGAGATGTTCTAATGGTAGCTGAAACTCCTTCACAAAGAAAATGAAATTCACTTACCAAGTAGTATTTATCATTCAGCTTTATGATACTAATAATGTACTTTATTGTGCTTGGAACACATGTGTCAGTCTAAAAGAGATCACAGTCTTCTTGAATTCTACATAAAGTGAAGAAGACAATGATTAAAGGGTATTCACTTGTATCATATAGGCTCCTTCAAAGCCACAGACCAAGATTACCTGTTTGAAAAACAAGGCTTGTGCAGAATTCCTCAATAGTGTGAAGTTGAAAAATAGTTGGTTACTTTTCTCCATCGTATGCTGTGAGTCTAGGATTATTTGTCCTCCCATTTATAGCATTCTAGTCTTTTAATAGTCAGTCTGACGTATTTTTAGAATTATCCGATTTAAAGTATGGATTTTTTTCTGCTTTAAAATGTTTGTTTTGCTTTGTTTCAAGTTTTGTGAACTATTGGTGTGAGTGTGAGCACAGTATGGAGCCGGAGATTTGGATGATAATTGTTTTAAATAAACAGAGACACATTTCACCTTTAGCGTTTGTTGTTTTACTTTTATTTGATGAGTTTAATGCATGTCCATATTTCTGTCTTACATTGATAGGAGCACTATGCCTAGTTTTTAGAATGGGAAGAGGGTCATGGTATTATCAGTGTTGTCTTTCACTTTTCTGCTTTAAAATGAAAAGGAGATTTTCGACTTGAGCATTAGTGCTATCATATGTCATCTTGTCATCAGATGTATAAGTCTGTTCCACCTCCAGTTTTTGGGCAGGTCATCTAATTGTTTCTACCTTACCCGCTTACTCTCTTATGTAGAGCTGATCAGACTTTGATCTTCAGAGTGCGCACAAGACTCTTACACACCAACAAGCACATAAATGGAATTAACCCCATGTGGGAACCCCATTGCAGACACTGTGACTACCATGAGGAGACCGTTGAACATCTTCTCCTTCACTGCCCAAACCTGGCTGTTCTTCGACGCAGGCTCCTACACACACCTACAGACTTACAAAGCCTGCTCTACTCTGGCGCTGACCAGATGACAAGGACATGTGGTTACTTGAGGGAGGCATTGCACCTTACCCATTTGTGTGTGTGAGGGATAAGGAGGGGGGGGGGTGGTATTATCAGTATTGTCTTTTATTTTTCTTGCTTTTCATTCTTGTGAATTCTAACTCACAATTTGATCCATTTATCTTGATGAACGCTGTGAAGAAGGAAGTGGTTACGAATTTAATCTTCTTTTTGAAAGTTCAAGAAATGGAATTTATGATACAGCTGGGAAAAACATTGAATGGATGAATGGTAATATGAATGTACCAGTAGTTTTCTTAAATGGCCCAACCAGTGTGTTTATTGATACATGTACGTTTGCCCTACTTTTAGGTCTTTGACGTCTCAAGGCCATTGCCTCTAAGTGTGGAATAATGTTAGAAGTGGTTTGGTTAGTTAAGGAGACACAGATAGGCTAATTTACATTTGCTCCCCCAACCTCCAAGAACAAATGCATCAAGTGAATCTATGAAACAATTGATGACGATAGACCCACATATGCAGTTTTGTTTCAAGTAAGTTGGTAAATGTATAGTCCACGACACCACATACAGTAATAAACAGGGTGTCTATTTTTAATTGATTAAGCTCTCTGTACAAACAAAGGCTGTAAAGATCATGTGAGGCACTGCTTCATCCGCGGCTCCACCAGACATTCTTTCCTGTAAAGTATCTTTGGTACCACTGCACAGTACTGCTTGAACTTGCTATATCTGTCGCTGTGGTGGTTGGTGGATGCTCTGGAGTGGTATGCTCCTTCTTTCCTATCAAAGATCTATCTTCCTTTCTCTCCTCCTTTCCTTCGTATGTCACTCTCTTGTAACACCTCTAATCATCGACACTTATACGACTTATTTTTTAGTTGCAAGTGCCGTAAAACTCTTACTAAAACCAATCTAACATCTCCCATGGCTATTGTGGGAAAACACCATCAGTTTAAGACCTCTAATTCAGATATAATTATATACTGATTCTCAACCAATACACAAGTATTCTACGAGCGTGTATATTATATGAATATATATGATTTTATATATATATATATATATATTATATATATATATATATATATATATATATAGAGAGAGAGAGAGAGAGAGAGAGAGAGAGAGAGAGTCTAGTTTATTTAAAATAAATTAAAATTCCCTGCTTATCAAGTGCCCTCTATGCATTCTTAAAGCGACACAAAGCGTCAGTGCAGAATTCTTTAATTTTCTCATGAGTGTTTCAGAAAAACAATTATTACCAGCGTCAATCTCATTAAAGTGTAGAATGGGGTTCTAAACCCAACTCGTATACAATACATCAGTTCCTTTTTATTCAGGTTTGTATATTAGAAAAGAGGACCCATAGCGAGCATTCAAGCAAAATAACAAACACAGCTTCATTCCTTTTGTTTAAAAAACCCCCCAAAACATTATTTGTTTTAATTTTATGACGTGCAGAGCCAGTAGAGACGCACATACACCTTTCAGAATAACACAATCACTTGTTACAAAGATGTGTCATGAATTATAAACAAACGAACTCCCACACAAAGGGAAAAAAGCAGTGCCCGCTTCGGTGAAGCTGAAAAAATGAGTTGGCTGGTACTGCGAGAAGTTCTTTCACTGAGTAGAATAAAAGTACAGACCCAGTGCAATACAGTCTAATCTCGATAAACATTGTGCTAGCTCCCGTTATACCGCAAGGTTTTTGCCAACATAAGAAAAGGATTAAGCTATTTAAACATAGCATTGGCGACTTTACACCGCTACCAAAACCCCCCAAAAAGAACAACAAAAGAAAAATAACAACCCCCCCCCCAAACACCAACAACAACACCAACAAAAAATAATAATAAATAAACAAACAACCCGTAGAAATCTATGTCTGCATGGCCCTTGACACATAATACATATCTCTAGCCTAGCTTCTGATCCTGCAAAAATGTTCCTTTTGAATTACGAAAAAGTTCAGCTGGTGCTGTACATGATGTAATTGGTTGCTACTCGTTTTCCCATGCACCTGGGGATCGAGTAAAAACAAATCTGAGTCAAGACTGGTCACAGTTTGTCTGTAGTCTCCTCCAGTCTACCCCTATAGATAAATATAAATGGCAGTCGCTGCTGCTATCCGATATATCGCCGGCCCCCGCTGTACCTCCAACTTTATGCTCGTCCACGGTTGGCAGTGAAACGGGGTTTGTTGACAGTAATTTCTCCAGTGCTCTGATGTGTGGTTGCTGTAACCACTGTACAGCAGGTTGTTTTGATAAAATCATTAATTTTTCATCAGTTGCTTTTTTTATTGTGTCGCCTCTAAGAAGAGGGGTATTATTATATTGTCCTATGGAAGGGACCAAGATGGCCCAAAACAGACAGAGCTAGAGATCCTTTGCTGCTGCCCTAAACGCCAGATGGCGTAATGGGTAAGTAGTAAGTAAGGAAGGGAAAATGTCTCACCTCCACCAAATGGACGGGTGCTGAGGTGGATATTTTAATCTCAAAACACTTTCTGTCTTCTTCTTCTTCTTCTTCTTCTTCTTCTTCTTCTTCTTCTTCTTCTTCTCACTGATGTGTGCCCAACGACGAAGCGGACTGTAAGTTGAAGCTCTGATCAATGATCGTATAGAAGTGACAGTCCAGAGTTGGGGTTGATAGACATCTGTGCTGTACGTGGTTGCCAGCCTCTTCCCTTTGCCTGAGTTCCATTCCCGAGTGAGAAGATACACGTCATGCAATATATTATTTTATCGAGTATCTCCGTTTGCTCGTTGAATAGGTCTTATATAGTCTTATGCTTTAGCCCATACGACCTGGATTGGTCCTAAAGTGCGGGTTCGGGCGCCTCTTGTGATACAAAGGGTGGTGTCGATAAGGGGCATAAAACTCAAGCAATAAGATACAATCTGTTTAGGTTGACACTCGACATATTCGGAAAAAACAATATTCGAGGCCCATTTCAAAGTTGAAAAAGATAGTTAAAGTATTAACAGTGTACGTACGCCTCTAGTGTACCTGATCTGCAGGGGTCCGAATAAAAAAAGATGGTCTGAGATGACGTGGCCAAGGCGGTCATCGCTTGAGAGAAGTGTTTTTTGTGTTTTTTTGCTGGGGGGGGGGGGGGGGGGGAGGAGGGGGGGGGTTGGGTGGGTCTTCCCCCCTTTGTTTTTTAAAGATATTAAGGGGGTTGGGGGGGTTCTTTTTTTTTTTGGGGGGGGGGGGGGTGTTTTACGGCGCAGACAATTGCATAAGGTCATTTGAGCGCTTGGGACACTTAAAACATTTTCAGTTGGTAGGCCTACTCTTATCGATTCTGGACCACCAAGGTATCTTTGACGTGCGCAATTTGCACGAGGGACTTCCGAGATGTTTCGCCCTTATCTGAGTTAGGTCTGGAAAAAGAGAACAATATCGCCTTCGTTACCCTGCAGTACATATACTTGAAGCGTGCGCCCCGCTTTAAACAAACATAAAAAGATGCTCATAACGACACATATTCACAGGCATGATGTAATAAGACACGTTGGTAGCTTATTCATATGCCACACAAGCCGTTTGTTATGATCGAACAAAATTAATCAGCAACCTTTTAAGGAAAAATGGTAGGCACAGAAGAATTTATACATGATGTGTTTGGAAATGAATGTGGCCCAATAAAAATTGATTTTTTTTTGTTGGTAAGGCAGGACATTCCTTGAAAATTGGACGTTACTTCTTTCCTTTGTTATTGCTATCTCTGTGCTGAGGCGGGCAGGGTTGTGGTTTGCTTTGTTTCTTTCCATTTGTTATCATTGTTATGTTGTTTGTTTTCGAGTTTTTGTTTGTTTGTTTGTTATTTTAAAAGAAGAACAGCATTTCTGCCGTAAGCTGACAAAACGCCCTTTTTTCCATTTTGGTGCCAAATTTGTTATTTGCTAAATTGAAAGTCTGATCAGTTACATTGCTTTTGAGAAAAAAATCAAAATGAAACTGTGACTTGTTTTTAAGTAAATTAGAATTACAATTTCGGAATGACTCTATTCTTTTAATGCTTACGCTGACAAAAAAAACCCCATATTTTTCTCGAAACTACTGTGAATTAAAAAAGGCGTTTTGTCGGCTTGCGGCAGATTTGTTTAGTTTTAATGTCATGTGTCATACTTGAACCAAACGGCAGGCTAGTAATGGATGTGGTTAAAAACATTAGGACGCTTTGCTTGCCATGACGAACTCAAATGTGGGTGGTTGGCGGGTGATCTGGTGTGGTTTGCTCCTTTTTTCTAATCTTTGACACTCATATGACCTCATTGTGTTGCAAGTGCCGTAAAACTTTTACTAAAACTAGAGAACTTCTCAAATATACTACGTTTTGTCATGTCTTTGCCTAGTGGCATGTCCGCTCTGTTTTCCTATCAAACATTTATCGGCCTTCTTCTCTTTCTTCTTTTCTCTATGTACGTTACACTCTAGTAACACCTCCATCCTTCGACACGAATAAGAAAGATTGGTGTAGCAAATGCCGTGAAACTCGCACCCAAAAAAAAAATTAATTTGAAAAAAAAAGATAAATTTTTGTTGTTGAAAATCTTTATCCTTTACCAGTGATGACTGGAGATTGTGCACTCTTCTATCCACTAACGATAGTGCTGGGTTAAGCTGAAAGAACACGTTTTGTACAACCGTGAATACAAGTTAAAGTTTTCATTTTCAGGAAAATAGTTACCTTTGTACGTGAATCCAGAAAATAATAATGTTTGCTTGTGTAAGTATGGTAAAAGAAACATCCTCTGTCTTCCAGTCTAATTCAGCATTGTCGGCAGCGGATAAAAAAATAAGTTTGGGCCTATTGTAAACATACGATACTCTAGCCATCTTGGGTGAAGGGGAAAGATACGAATAGGCAATGACACAGAAACATCAAATGCACTGAATAGTCCTCTTTGGTTAGTGTGTTTAATGGTTAACTTATCCAGTGCATCTTACAGAATGCTTTGGGTATATAGTAGGCCTACGTAGACTACACCAAAATCGATAAAACAGTTAGATTTCCTGGATTTACAATGTCCATAATTCCCGATCATAAAGTTGGAGGATGTTATTGGAATGATTCAATGAATTTTTTATATTTTTTTTTTGGGGGGGGGCTACACATCGTTCTACTGAGAGGG